CTACAGTTCCGAGAAACTGAATAAAGTCCATGGTGAGGACACTGAGTCAGAAAATCCTGAACGAGAAGACCTGGGGTGGAAATGTTTCTAAGGTCACGAATTAACCGTTGAGTCTCACCATCACTGACTTCCCCAAACTTTCAGCTCCGATTCACAACATCCTAATTTAATTTGTTTTGCGGTTTTATTTGATTAGAGTCAGTATTGATTAGGTTAGAGATATTTCAGTAACAGTGCATTGTTTTGTGTGAATATGAAAAAAAAAAAAAAAAAAGATTTTCAGAGAGGCTAAGGCTCAAATTTGTGAAAGGAACACTGCCTCTGCCTTCAGGCTTGGCTGTGCCTTCACCGGAGCAGATTCGGCCAAGTTACGCTTTTCCTCACGACCAGTCTTCTCACGCAAAGATCTGGCTTTGCAAGAGAGGAGTGGGGTGAGGCTTCCTGTGGACGAAGGTCAAGACCCTACCGTCCACCCATGCTGTCTTTGTGTAACAGCCCATCTGGACATTTTGATAGAAAGAAAGAAATTAATTTCGAATGAGAATAAAATATCTGTTGAAAATGTATTACTTTACAGCAGCATGCACTGTAAAAGGAGGAAAGACTGGTATTTACTGAACATATATTTGTAGAAATGTACCATAAAAACATTGTATTGCATGAAAGCAAAAGCACATGTTTGATTCTGGGTTTTTTGTTCATTGTATTCTACTGTTTAATCCTTTTGGGGCTTATAGCCAATCCCAGCAGTTAAACAAGTGTTTGCATCCAATAAACAGGCAGTTCAGATTGCCAAAATAATTGAATCCTGTGTGTGGACTCCATACAGAAATACAGGTGGTCTCGACTTTTGTCCCTTTCTACGGTGTGACATAACTCGACTTTCACTGTAAGCCAGCACACAAATAATGTACATCAGTACCTATGTTACTCACCTACGCTAGCACCTTTCTAACATCATATTCTAGGACATAAAAATCAGAATAGTCTGAGTTAGACTTGGAAGTAACAATGAAGTGCAGAATGTTCCAAAAAATACAACACAAATGAAAGAAAGCGAACCTAGCTCTATCCAGTGGATGGTGTATGACAGTGAATGTAAACTAAGCTGTCTTCCACGTATTGTGCTGCGTGATGACATAATTACTCACATGCAAAACCTGCAAATTCCACACTTTTCTCTAGAATATGTTTTTACCCCTAAAATCATCCAGCCCAATATTTCACATTTCAACCAAGCAGCCTGTCTGCTCAGTAGGTGTTCTGACTGTTACGCAGAGAGGAAAAAACCGCTTACCCTGCAAAACGGTCTACAGGAGAGTGAGACAACTAATGAAACTAATGAAAGTGGAGTTCACATGCCTTTGTTGCTACCCTTCCACTGAATAGTGTAATTACTGCACAACAAAACCTTTTTTTTTTTGTTGTTGCAAAGTTTGGAATTTAAGCCACCATCGCTGTGTTCATTTAAACTAAAGCTGGTGTAAACCATACAGACATCTGCTGTATGAAAGCAAAAGATGCATCCGACGGCAAGCAGCTGGAATGGACGCACCTTTCGCGAGGGAGCAACAGCTTTGGCTGTTGCCAAACACGCAGCAACTTAACCAGCACTTAAGTCAGCAGCATCTCCTCGAATTAGAAAACAAAACAAAAGAGAGAAAATTGCTG